AATGAGGCAACTGATGTGGGGTGGAGGGGGGGCAGCAAGACACGAGGGATTTCAGGCTCTACTCAACATCATTTTGTCGAAACAGGTTTTGGATTACAATTCCTTACCCTGTGTTGTCTCCCTTCCTCCCCCTTCGCCTACTGTCTTTAACACACTGTAATTTTGTCGTGTCATCAGTACCAGCACGGTGTGACAACCCGCTGCTTTTAATCATTCTCAATCAGGAGGGATTGTTTCTCTCTCTCTCTTCCTCTCTCCCCCCTCCCCTCCATCCTCTCTGCAGGACTCAGACAAAATGGAGAAGAATGAAACATGTGCGTAACCTTTTCAAGGACAGCAGTGAGGATGGGCCGTCCGGCTGGAAAGCACTTTAGGAAAAGAAAACCACTGGTGCGGTTAATACAGAAAAGAAGAAGAGAGAGAAAATAGATGAGGGGGCCTGAAAGCCGACTATGATGACTTCTATATATAGACGCTGCTGCGCGTGGTGAAGGCCTGCAACGCTAAGACGCCATGCTCTTCCAGCTAAAGGGATTTCACACAGAAAATGTGTGTGTCAGGGAGTGTGTGTGCACGCATGTATCTGCATGTGTGCGTGTGTTTATTAGGAGCAGAGATTACACTGAGCGCTGCTGCCGACAAGAGGAGAGAAGAGGCGGAGGAGAGGAGCTGCAGGAGCTGTGGCGTCCTTAATTAGAAAGCAAACAACCTCAGGCCTTATCCCTTACAGGATAAATGCTTATGTATTCCTCTGAAGGGCTATTATTACAACACTTTTCTACTCAGCAATTTCCAGATAATTAAATGTTACAAGGACCTATTTTTCTTGCCAGGATTGTACAGGTTTCTTTTTTAGGTTGCACGTATTATTCATCGAAGAAGCCATCTTTTATTCTTCCAGGACTGTTAAAGAAAAGTAGGCTGCAAATTATCCCTTTAAAAAATGTTGAGTAGATCAAACTCTGAGTCATGTGATGGGGGATTTTTGCTGTTATGGATATGCAACTAACGAAATTGGTTCAGAAACTAAGTGTTAAATAAATATTTTAAACAGGTTTTCTTTTCGTAGTTATTTTTTAACTGATGCAATAATCTGTGTTGATTTGATCTGACTGATTCAAATTCAAGTCCATGTTTCATTCTTTTTCTCAGATGTTTCTTAATTTAATATTTATTTTTTTCACTTTGTTTCGCATGCGTATGGTTTAATATTAAATATTAGTTTTCAAAACCCCCGGCGCTTGTATAAATGTATTTGTTTTTCAACCAGAAAAATATTTCTAGTAAAAGCATTTTGCACACATGAGGCTGAAGGCTATCATTATCCCCTTCTTTTTTTCTTCTTTCTACTTTTCAACTGAGCTGGCACTATCTGAGGTTGCCAACACAGCCATTAGTGAAAAGTATATGCTGAATTTGCCATCAGACTCATTTGTAATATATTCTAATCTTGTAAAACTACAAAATGTGACAAAAGCTCAAATCACATCTAATAGATGGATAATGCAAGTTACCAGATATAGCATGTTCCACACATAGAATAAGTAATAAGAAATTAGAAATGTCATAGAATAAGTCTAATAAGGAACTCATTTTACACAATGCTTTCAACGCTGTTAATTCATTAGAAGAATGCACTTCCATACTTCTATGAAATAGTTGTTAAGACAATAGTCAATGTAAAAGATAAACAATAATTGAAACATAAGCATACATTTAAAAAGAATGAAATGTGGTTTTTGCACCAATGTCACTTCCCAATGGCAAAACAGAGTGGCATTTTGTGTATGTTTAACCAATGCGGGATTATGTTATATGTGTGGTTAGCCAATGGTCCCAACATTTGGTGAGCTTACTGCTGGGCATACCCTTGTCTTATTTTAATAAGAAAAACGTCTCCATTAGCTCCCATGGAGACTGTGAGTGGAGACGGAGGTAAATAAAAGACTCCTGATTGTGAAATAATGAGTATGCCAGTTGCTACTCAGCAGCCGGCTGCTGCTGTCAGCATGTTTGGAATCGCTGTGAAAAGAAGTGTAACAGGGGAATGATGGGAGCTATAAAGATTGTTATAAAGATAACCAACATACCACCTACCAACCACTTCACTTGATGAAAGCAGATTGGCAGATAGGACAGACATACCCTTGGTACATTAGTTCATTATGCTCAGAGATGATATCATTAGAGCATTAACAAGGTCATATTCTCTGGGCTCACACCCACTGAGATGAATGACAAGGGAATTGCCCCTGTCTCAAAGTGAAGCAACTGACTTGCTTTAGAAAATAATTATGTGTGATTTCACCTTCATTCAGGCCCTGTGAGACAACTGGTGCCGTGGAATCACTGCCCCTGTGTATAAAAACGTGCTAGCACACAACACACACACATGTAATCAATAATACACCCAAGTTGCCCTGGGTTGACTTGTCAATGCAACTCTTTTATATTTTAAGAGTTGGGGGCAGCTTTTCTGTATATTTCATGACCAGTCAGAAAAACTTCAACCAGGTCACAAAAACCACTAGCAGAACCACCACATTTAACCATTTTTGTTGTGTCTCGTCACATTTGTCAGTCATGTTTATGTGTTATGTTTGTCTTTCCATGTTATTTCACGTCATGTCAGGTCTGTCTATTTATGTCATTTCATCTCTAGTCAAGTCCCCGTGTTTCATGTCATGTCTCGTTTTCCATTTTCTGTTTTATTTTGTACTTACCTCTTGTCTCTCATTTCAGGCCCTGTTACTTCCTCCCTTTGTGTGTTTTCCCGCCCTCGTCAGCGTCTGCCTCGCCCCTGATTGTTTCCACCTGTTCCCACTCACCTCATATTTAAATAGTCCTGGCTCCCCCTGTCCTGTGTCAGTTTGTGTTGTTTGTTTCCATGGATGGTCATGCCAGGCTTCAACAAAGAGAGGATCATTTCCAGTCGAGTCAGGTTTTGCTATTTTGTTATTTTTGTAAACTTAAGTTAATCTTAAATTCTCTTTTTGTTACGCTTGTTTTTCCCTCCTTGTGAGCGCTTTTTGTTAAATCCAGTACCTACTCTGTTAAGAGGGATTTTCTGTTTTCTTGAAATTAAAAATATATTTTTTGCTACATTCAAGACTGTCTCTGGGTCGTGTATTTGGGTTCTCCAGTTTGTGTTAAGGTCGTGATCATTTTCAATATAAATGATATATAAACAACCTATATCCAACCTACATAATGCAGCACCAGCTAAATAACTGTTCTAAAGATGTCCTCTTATAATAATAATAATATATTTTATTTATAAGCGCACTTTTCATTTGCGTAAACAAAACTCAAAGTGCTCTTATCCAAAACTATTTCTACAACCCAGGATCTCCAATTAAGTTACTGAGTAAGAAACCTTATTGTCCGCAATGGGGGATAATTGTTGTTCACCTGACCAAAAACAATATGGATTACAAGTAGGATAATAACTCTGAGTAAACAAGTCATAAGAACTTCATTTCAATCATACGCAATCAAATACAGTTCTGTAGGCCTATTACATGAAAGGAACCATTTGCAAATTCTGTACAGTTCCCTATACAGTTTACTATTTATTTAATAATCCAACTGTAGTCGGGCATTGGTGGTCAGTCTAAAGTGCCTTCCTAAATCAAGCAATTACATGGGTACAATGGATAGACCAGAGGCCTGTACTACGAAGCTGGTTCAACCTAACCTGGATATGTTTGAGTTAGCCGGTTGGCCTAATCCAAAACATACACGCTCTCGCTAAACTGTACTACGACGCGGGTTATCAAGTGGATCGCTCAAACTTGCCGTGTCCTATCTAGTTAGGTGCGCGTTCACATGAAAGGGGTGGTATTTGGAGAATTCGACCAATCACAAACATGGACAAGCGTACTGACAGCGCAACGCGTCATACTTCCTGAATGAAAAGTATAATATTAGACATATGAAGAAGTTACACTTTAAACATCCATGACTTAAACACTTTATCCAGGATAAAAGCCACATAGCTGCACCTGCAAGGTGAATATAGCTGGTAAGAGAAAAAGTGTTTGAATGCGTACATTAACAGGTTTATGATATCACTGCCCCGTCTAAAACACGATCTGACTTTAATTACATTTTACTCGGGTGTTTCGTCAACTTAATGTGTTGCTTAAAATAATACTTCTGCATACAGTATATGTGACACTGTCAGGGCCGGCCCTGACCAATTTGCCGCCCTAGGCAAGATTTTAGATGGCGCCCCCCCCCAAAATAAATAAATAAATAAATAAATAAATAAATCACACAGAAGCTGTATACGTTTTTTGGGATATTTTTTTATTTTAACACAAATACAACATTAAAACCTATAATTGCAGTCAGCAGCCTCGCCAACACACCAGTGCTTTCTAAAGGCCTATTCACACATGGCCCCTCCACTTGCTCCCTGCTGAGGTCAGACAGGGCAACAAGTTGCTGCTCTGCTGACAGGCACACAATCCACCTGTACTGATATACAGTCCGTGAGAGACTAATTGCCTCACCTTAAGAGCTGGATGTGTAAGAAGTACAACCCAGAAACATTTACTAATTTAAAACAAAAGCTGCTTTGCTGAACACTTAAACATACTACTTCTGGGTACCGAAATATTTGCTATCAATCACTTCAGTCTTGGTTAAAAGCAAGATTTAGCCAAAATCCAACCATTAAAATACTACAGGCCTCAATCTCACACCTCAACACCTTACCTTAGCCTGACTCTCCTTGCCTTTCTTGAAGCAAAATGATCTATGACATCATCATAAGACAGCTGTTTTGAGACCACATGGTTGATGCTTATGATGGATAGTCCACTGAGACGTTCTTGTCCCATAGAAGCTCTCAGGTAAGTTTTGACCAGTTTGAGCTTTGAGAAGCTTCTTTCAGCAGCAGCCACTGTAACAGGAAGAGTGGCAGAGATTCTCAGAGCAACCCACAAATTGGGGTACATTTCTGTCAGCTTCTTCTCATGAAGGAAGGTCAATAGTTACATGTTTGTCATCTTCTTTGATGGCAAATGTGGAACATTTTGCATTTCTGCAGCAAGTTCCCTGCCATCAATGTCTGGTTGTCCATCATGGGTCAGAGCAGAGCTCAGGGTTTGACAGTGCTTTGGCAGTTCTTCGTTTGATGTGGTGGGAAAGTTGATGAGCACTCCAAACTTGTCATTTACCTCTTCAAGGTGCTGAAATCTCTCATCAAGTGAAGAGAGGGCTGTATCCACAACCACATTAAAAAATGTGATTTCCATTTTTTTAAGTGCATCATCAATAGGCTCATCTGGAGACTCATAACCAAACTGCCGTTTTGTGGATCTCAACCGCTTTTGCTTGAGAACAGACTCCACGTTCATCTCCTCACACATCTCCTTTGCAGTTGTCTGTGCATCAGAAAATCCAGTCCTTCTGTAGCAGGTGAGGGAATCTCCTGTTTTCTTAAGCAGGTCGACAGCCACATCTAACTGCATGGAGGGTGACTGCATCAGTTTGCTCACATGCTGGATCTTGTAGAGGATGTCATACCATATGGTTGTGCAAATGATAAAACGGTAAGATCCAATCTCCTCAGCCAAAGACTGGGCTTCAACTCTCACCACAGGGTCTGCAGTTGTTTCCCTCACCTCCAGAAGAGCCTCTCTGATTTGCCCAGCCTGGTACATTACTGCCTCAACGCTTTTTATCCTGCTTTCCCATCTGGTCTCTGACCACGATTTCAGGGTTGTTTTGACATGTTTCAGCAGGATGTCCCATCTATGCGTGGAGGCAGAGAAGAGTTTGTACAACTTTGTTAAATAGCCAAAGTAGCCTATAGCATCTGGTGAGCTCTTTGCAGCATTAGCTACCACCAGATTTAAGGTGTGAGCACCACAAGGGACAAAAAAAAGCTCTTGGGTTCTGCTGAAGCAACCTAGCCTGAACACCTTTATTCTTACCCTTCATGTTGGCACCGTTGTCATACGACTGTCCTCTGCAGTCCTCAAAGGGGATGTTAAGTTCCTCCAGCCTTTTGAGAATGAGCAATGTCAAACTTTCCCCTGTTGACTCTGCCACAAGAAAGCCCAGGAAATGTTCTTTAACCTGTGGTTTGTCTACTAGTGATACTATCCTGACAATAACAGAGAGTTGTTCTTTATGACTCAGATCAGGAGTGCAATCCAAAATGATGGAGAAATACTTACACGTTTTTATCTCTTCCACAATTGTGTCCAGTATTTTAGAGCTGATTGAGTCAATCAGTTCATTTTGAATTATTTTGCCCATATAATGTGTGTGACTGCCAGCTCCACTTGCCACCCTACCAACATGCTGCTTTATGACTGGATCGAATTTGGCCATAAGCTCCACTTCTTTTAAAAAGTTGCCATTGTCTGGTTGGTTTAATGTGTCTGTGGACCCCCTCAGAGCCAGGTTTCTCTCTGCTAAGGACTGAATTATTGCCACGAATCGGGTGAGAACGTCGCGCCACCTATTTCTCTCAGCCTGAGCAAGGGCCATCTCTTGCATATCTATTGTAAGCCCCCTGGCAAGACGGACGTCTAACTCCTTCCATGTTGCCATGTTTGTGTTGTGCTCCTTGCTTTCTTCGTGTACCTTGAGCAAGTGACTTGCATTTTTCCAGTCCTTTAGTCCTTCCCTATTGAGTATGTAATTTCTCTGTGAAAACATTTTGCAGCAGAAGCAGTGCAAGCTATCATTCTTTTTTGAATACATCAACCAGCTTCTTTAGATTTTTTCTCCGTTGATTAAGACTCTGTTAAAATAGTCTTGCTGACACCTTCTCCCGTCTTTTTGTTTGGGAAAGATAAAACTAGGTTTCATTTGATATGGTCCACTCTGAACAAACTCTGTCCTGTCATTATCAGTAAGAACAGATGGCCAGTCTGCAGGGTCTATTGGTGAAGCCTTTATCCCTGATGCTGTATAACTTGGCTCTGCTGAGGTGGAGGGGACAGGAGCGCTTGATGCTGTATCACTGGGCTCTGCTGAGGTGGAGGAGACAGGAGCGCTTGATGCTGTATCACTGGGCTCTGCTGAGGTGGAGGGGACAGGAGCGCTTGATGCTGTATCACTGGGCTCTGCTGAGGTGGAGGGGACAGGAGCGCTTGATGCTGTATCACTGGGCTCTGCTGAGGTGGAGGGGACAGGAGCGCTTGATGCTGTATCACTGGGCTCTGCTGAGGTGGAGGGGACAGGAGCGCTTGATGCTGTATCACTGGGCTCTGCTGAGGTGGAAGGGACAGGAGCGCTTGATGCTGTATCACTGGGCTCTGCTGAGGTGGAGGGGACAGGAGCACTTGATGCTGCAGGGCTGGGCTCTGCTGAGGTGGTATGAGGCCCAAAAAATGTCAATAGTGCATCTGGAGAGAGAAGAGAAGTATATGTGACCATCAAGAGATGTATTATATTTGCTAGACCAAATTATATTATAGAAATCAGAAAATAGGAGCAGCTCACAAAATAATTAGAATATCATGGAATATATTGCCTCCATGTAGAATTGATGCATTTATCTCTGCAAAAGGAGCCCCGACCAAGTACTGAGTACATATTTGAATAAACTTTTCAGAAGATCGAAATATCTGTATTATAAATCCTTATCTAATATTATACTAGATACAGGATTATTGATTTTCATGATCTGTAAGCTGTAATAATCACAATTAAAACAAAAAAGGTTTGAAATATTTCACTTCATGCATAATGAATCTAGAATATATGATTAATTTGTTTTATTAAATTAAAGAAAAACAGTTCTATGATATAGTTATTCTTTTAGATGCACCTGCATATTCTGCGACTTACCAGATGGCAAAGAAGCAGCTACATACATTGTAATATAGCATATTAAAGATAAAGGCTAAGGTATGCAGTATTTACAGTAGTGACAAACATTTTAACACTGATGTAAACGTTACACTATTGATTATTGAACATACTTTAGACAGCATAAACTGTAAGGCAATACAATTAAAGGCCTACAACTATAAATTATTGAGGGGATGTAAAAGGAATAGCATTTTAATGACTATCATTATTAGCCTATTACTACAAGCAGGGCAAACATTGGCTCACCTCAACAGATATAGTAGATGATATATAGCAGGTGATGTAACTCTTTCCAAATGTCCCTGAATTTAAGGTGGGAGTAACGGTAATAATTGACGTTAACTCTAAATGTAACTATTGATTAGCAAACAAACGACCTTGCTATCGTCTAAAAGTAAGCTAGCAAGTTAAAACTGTTCCATCAACGGTAACTACAATCAATTGTTTGACTTTGTTTAATCATCATCACATTAACGTTACTGTACCTTTGTCTTTCTCCCGTTTGTCCTCCTCCTCTTTTATTTTCTTTCTTCCCTGGGCACCAGATAACTTTGTTCTTTTCGACATGCTAATTACCGTCTTTGTTTTCTTCTCCCGAGTCACAGCAGGCCAAAGGCGGCGGGTCAAGTGTCAGTCAGTGACACTTGACCCGCCCCCCTCGCTCCTTGAGGACATCAACAGCCTGCGGGGCTGGGGCAGTTCAACTTACCTGAATTAGGGGGAGGGGGGGGGGGGGGGGGGGGGGGGGGGGGGCGCCATAGTGTATGGGCTCTGTACGCAATATAGACGTAGTTCTGTTAAGATAAGATAATAAGATGTACTTTGTTGATCCAAAATCGGGAAATTGTTTTATTTAAAAAAATTAAAAAATCACAATTACATTTTATTTTTTTTAATAAAATATATATTTCCCCCAATTTTCGGCGCCCCCCTGGCTTGATGCGCCCTTAGCATTCGCCTATACTGCCTACGCCAAGGGCCGGCCCTGGACACTGTGAGTGTTGCACGGCCAGATACGGCTCAGCTGACTCAGATAAGGAAATATATGATAACCTACATTATGAAGTGATATGCCGCGGACTGTACTGTTACTTTGATCCGGTTACTTATGTTGTGGCAGATATTTAAGTAAGCTTTCTTAACGCTAATGTTATAATAGTCAGATTGCTCTGAAGATGGGAGGTGATATTCTATTAATGTTCACGTTCACACAGTCGGTGATTTTTGCCGGCCGTCTTTCCTGCAACGGCAGTTTTTCTGTATTTCCTTTCTCTTGGTCGCTTTAAACTCCGCACACTGAGCTCTGATTGGTCAGCAGGCAGTGCTTTCACTGAGTTGAGCTCTTAGCCTGCAACCTAACCAGGGGGGTATACTACGAATCTAGTTCAACCTATCCTGGATATGTTTTGAGTTATCCGGTTGACTTAATCCAAAACAAAGCCGCTCTCGCTAAACTGTCCTACAACGCTGGCTATCAACTCGTTCGGTCAAGCCAGCCGTGTCCTATCTAGTTAGGTGCGCGTTCACATAAAAGGGGTGGTATCTGGAGCATTCGACCAATCACAAACATGGAGAAGCATACCGACAGCGCAGCGTCATACTTCCTGAATGAAAAGTCAACTATAATATTAGTCAAATATGAAGAAGTTAAACTTTAAACATCCATGACTTAAACACTTTATCCAGATCAAAGCCACATAGCTGCACCTGCAAGGTGAATACAGCTGGTAAAAGAAAAAGTGTTTGAACAGTTTTATGATATCACTGCCCCGTCCAAGACACGAGTGGATCTGACTTTAAATACATTTGACTCGAGTGTTTCGTCAACCTAATGTGTTGCTTAAAATAATACTTCTGCATACAGTATGTGACACTGTGTTGCACGGCCAGATACGGCTCAATAAGCTGACTCAGATAAGGAAATATATGATAGCCTATATTATGATGTGATATGAATGATAATGGGATCGACGTCTGCACTAACAGTGCCGCGGACTGTAGGCTACGTAATGTTACTTTGATTCTTAACGCTAATGTTATAATAGTCAGATTGCTCTGAAGATGGGAGGTGATATTCTATTCATTTTCACGTTCACACAGTCGGTGATTTTGGCCGGCCGTCTTTCCTGTATTTCCTCCGCACACTGAGCTCTGATTGGTCAGCAGGCGTGGTGCTTTCGCTGAGTTGATCTCTTATCCTGGAACCTATCCTGCTTCGGAGCACAGACTAGGTTCCAGGATAAATCACCATGGAGATCTAGCCCGCTAAAAAGTGACCCAGCTTCGTAGTACCGGAAATCCCAGAAGTTATCTTGCTAAACGAAAATCCTGCTTCGTAGTATACCCCCCTGGTCCCGACCAGGTTAGCCGCTAAGCATAAGTTACCATGGAGATCTAGCCTGCTAAAAAGAGAACCAGCGTCGTAGGACCGGAAACCCCGAGTTTTCCCTGAAGTTAGCCGGCTAAGCGAACATCCTGCTTCGTAGTACAGGCCTCAGGTCCCTTGTTATGTCAAGAGCTTTCTTTTTGGTGTTCAAGACATGTCTGCTGCTTTGCTGCATCTGTTGTTTACCTACAATTTGACCTAGGCCTACTGTGTTAACCACTCTTGAGAGTTTCCCCATTACATTTGACATTCAAGTGTCCTTACAAGCGACCACGTTAAGAAGCTTTCCATTTTTGTAGGCTATTTCAAGAAAATTCCAGCTAACCCCTAAGTCATTAATCTTCTTGAGTTAGTGGTACATCCACATAGCTTTTAAAAAACATAAATGTTCTCATTAATAAAATAAAGATGTTATAAGTTCCTAGGTTTTTATAAACAACTGACCTTTGGTTCATCATGCCTTCTAGAGGCCGACTGTGTAAATATGTATGTTTATTTGTGTGTTTATAAATATTTCTCATTTTACAAGCCTTTAGTTTATGCTTCCCAAGTCTATAAATAAGAATTCAAGTGGTTCAAGGGCGACAGGAATGGTTCAAGGTAATGTTTGTGTCCTAAATAGGTGGCGCCATATTTGGAGAACGTGTTGCTAGTTGTACTCTTGATTGTAAGGCATATGGGAAAATGTTAAGAATATTAAAGGAACTTCAATAAGGTTCTTAGTATGAGCAATGGAGTGTCACAAAGAACACCTGTTGTTATTTCACATGAAAGAATCCTAATGTCCAACATTTCTGGTTTAAAGTGGGCGGGGCTCAGT